CATATGTATATTTGTATTTAAACTGCTTGCACTTTTATAGTTGTGCCAATCCTTCCTTTTACACCGTTTATGTTTTTCTATTTATATTTAGAACGGGAATGAAAGTACTAAAATAGTATTATTCTACTGATGGTTGTTTTTCCCCACACCAAAAATCAGGAATGTAATCCAGAATGTTTACAGAGCTCAGCCGTATGCCGATTCGATACATTCATCAGATTTTGAAATACCTTCATTCCTGAATTCTGTGCCTGCGCCATCACAGAGGTAATATCATACTTTTTTTAAGTGTAAACACTGCACAAAACACATAGCTGCCTGAAAAATTTAGGAATTGAGGACTAACTGCATCCGGATTTTGTCGAGATCTCAGCATTTCTGCAGTCTTTTTTTTACTGATTATGTGAGATTTTGGCGACAAATACAAAAACAGTTATCAGCCGAAGTTTTTTTGTCCACGCACTACTGATCAGTTCAACTGTATAATCTGCCAGGCATTAAGCACTTGTTTTGGTTTAGAAAGCCGTTATTATTTTGTGACCAGTCCTGGATCTAAGGCTGAGGGAGAAGGTTGTTTTGGCGATGTGTAAAGTGTTTTGGAGCGCCCAGACGTTAGAAAATCTTCTTGTAATTAAATCTTGTTAGAAAAGCTGGTCATTCATCTGCAGTGCCCAGTCAGACTGAAAACTGACCATAAAGTTTATCAGCAGACCGCTAAACTTCTGGAACGGAAACATCCAAATATTAGGAAGAAGCCACAGAACAGTTGATCAGTGTAAGAATTCCAGCAGAAGCATTTACAGAGGAGCAACGAAAGGCCCCCTACTGAGAAACAAAATTTTAAGTGAAGTAGGATTGGTTAAATTTGAAAATATGCACTTTTGTAGGGACTTTGTTCCGGAGAAGTACTGTTGCAAGGTTTGTTTCAGCGACGAATCGGTCTGTCAGTCTTCGAAAACATGGATAATCAGCAAGGGCACCAGAACTGCTGCCGGAGCTCATGCCGAGGACAAAACTCTGACAAAGACAAAAGCCGGAACACGCGCAACCCGAAATGTTGGCAAAAAACAAAGTAGTTCGTCTGAGACTATAAAAAGCATCAGGGTTCTATCAAAGTTTGAACATGAAAACCGAACGAAGATCCCTGCAGAAGGTACCAGACGCAAACCAGCGTTAGCTCAGCTGCACAATGAAGGAAGGGCACAAATGCGCGCAGAATCCGGAAAGGACGCTCAAATGTCAGGAACAAAAAAAGTGGAATCTCGGAAGCCTGCTGATTGGAAAGCAGAGAAACACAGTGGTTTCGAGAGGCCAAAGCCTTCAAAACTGAGTGGAAAAAACCAACAGAAGAAGGCCGAAGCTACCTCAAGGTTTGACGAAGCTACCTCAAGGTTTGCGGATCCTCGGCTCATCATGCAGCAACAGAAGACCAGTTCAGCAGCAGCAGCGGCAGCCAAAGGTACAGCACCTGGTGGCAGTAAATACGGCAAACCCGACTACCCAAATGTACGAAATCTAAAGATGAACGAAACAATGTGTTCCACTTCTGCGGATGAGATGCTGAAAATGAATATAAAATTGGTACCAAAGAAAGGCGCGCCAAAGAATGAGCGGAGCAACAAAGGCAGCAGTTACCCGAGAACGAAAAGTGGCTCATCCAGGAGCCCATCATTTGAGTAAAACGAATTTTCAAAAAAATATCGAGGATTTGTGCAGCAGTGCAGCATCTTTAGGATTTCCATCTGAAAAATCCGATAGCTATCTGAAGATTTAAATCGCTTATGAACTGGTTGGTTTTGACGAGGAAATCCTGAAAAAGTGCAACAAAATAGTACTGTGAGGTAACTGGAGTGCTCAGGGTATCAACTGCTGGTGGCTGCTGTTCTTTCAAATCCTACTGTTTTCATCCGTTTTGAAAATATTTCAGGAATCGCTGTCAATTATCGATGATTTTTTTTGTGTTTTGCTTTGTATCTTTTACAAACAAAAGTTGTTAATAAAATAATTTAATATTTAAGAGATGTATGCGAAAAAAAATAAAAGGCAAATTCATAATTCTGAGGCATAATTTCGCAAAAAAAGCGTCCTCAACTCTTTATGTTTTTAAAATAAAGCACTCTTTAGAAAAATTCAATTTCAAGAACTTTCACTTTATTAAAAAATCCAGTAAATGGAAAAAGTACAAACTGAAGAGAGTTTTCCTGCACAGCTTTTCCTCAGTCTTTTTTTTTTTTCAAATTAAGCTCTTTTGAGAAACACGGGTTAGTCAGATCCGAGTCTTTGTTCTGTTCCACAATCCTCATACAGAATAAGTGAGAAAAAGCAAAAAATAAAAGTTTTATATTTTTAGACAAGTGATAGAATTCAGAGAAAAAATTTACAAAAAACCCAAACTGTCTTCCCCAATTTCAATTTTTTTTGACAAATTGGAGGGTGAATTTCACAGAAAGACCTCTAACTTGCTTTTTTCATTTTTCGAAAAAAAAATTTTGGAAAGCGCTAAATATCCAAATCCGATATTCCATTCGACTAACAACATAGCGAACAAAAGAACAACAGATGTCTCGCTTCCGATCCCATATATTATAATGGCATGGCACAAAATAAATAAATGCCAATGCGCACCAGACTAGCCGGTGCGATCATGCGTTTTGTGCAATTCAGCCCATCG